AAAAAGAATGAGGAGCTGACTGCTCTGATGCAAAAGGCAGTAGAATGCCTGGATGAGAAGAAAACCATCCAGATTGATGAGCTCCCTCATGAGTACCATGTGCAAAGGGCTCGGATTGTTGCTAGAGGTGTTGGCATTTGCTCCTCATGCAGATTTGAATCAGGCTGCTTGAGGTGTGATGAGGCTAAGTGCCTTGCATACTGGATGAGGAGGGAGCATAAGAGATCTGGCAGGCCCATTGATGCTAAGTATCAGCTGGGCAAGGCATGAGCAAAGACTCAGACCTCCTCGATAAGCTGAAAAAGAGTTGAGCAGCATGTGGGAATGAGCAGCATGTGGGAATGAGCAGCATGTGGGAATGAGCAGTGTGAGGTGAGAGTTGCTGAATTAGCTGTATGAGTTGAGAGTCCATGAGTTGATTGATGAACCTCCCTTAGTTAATGAATTAATTAAGGAAACAATTATTTTTTTTCTGGTTTGTGTGGGCTCGGATTAACTGGGGGGGGTTTCTGATGCCCAACTAGAACATTAGGGGGGAAATAGGCACGAATAATACTTTTAATTTGGGCAATTTCTGGTGGGTTTGTGTGGCCGGATTAACTAGGGGAGGTTTATTAATCGTAGCTTGACATTATATATGGATTATATATTAGATAAGTTCCATATTCCAAAATGGTTCAAAGAAAGCTTTTGGATGGGCTGTGAGGTGATGTTGATACATTGTTCTATTGAGTAAGCTGGGAAAATGACGACCGACCCGTGATCTTCTTCGAATGAAGACCCCTCACGGGCTGAATCATGCGCCCTGCAGGGTCGAACTAATAGGTGTCTACGCTGGTGGATGTTGGAGTTATGGTGGGTCGATGCGACGGTCGTGTGAATCCTAAGGAGATGGTGGCTCTATACGGAATCCCCATCTTAAAAGAAATCTGGGGCTTCATGCGTTTGTTTTTTACAGTTGACACCACTGGAATAGTTAAGCATAGCTTGGGAGTTCACGAGCACCTGCAAGACATGTTCCAACGCTCTTCCTCGCAGTTGGACCCACATGGACTGCAGTTGCTGTTGTTTCTTTGTGCTCACGGGTCGCATACGGTTCGCCAAGTCCACCTGAACCTCCACCTCTAGTTCAACTCACGTAGCTGTAATGCCAGATGGTAGCTGTAAGGCCAAAGCGAGCTCGCGTAGTACTTCTAGTAGCTAATTGCGTAGTACTTCTAGTAGCTTCTTGCTCCTAGTAGTACGGCCAGGAGCCCCTAGTAGCGTCTTCGCTCCTAATAGCGATGCCCTTTGCTCCTAGTAGCTTCTTGCTTCTAGGGTTTAAGATGGTTTAAGCATCCGGATTTCGCCAAGTCCACCCCACGTAGATTGCACTCCCTGGAATAATCATGGAAGTGGAACACCACCTATTTGTAGAGGAACATGGTCATCCAAGGGGGCCATGCAATCCATTTCCATACTTCCATGACTATTCCAGGGAATGTAGATTGAACAATTCACTGCCATTGAATTCTCCGACAATTATATAGCTCAGTCCACCCGACAGGCTCAGCAAGTGTGTTTACATGTCTTGTCATTGTGGCGACCCCCGCGCGACAGGTGTGCACATGTCGATCCCACTATTGACACTCCATTCTCCCACACAAGTATCTCAGTATATGTCAGTCCACCCGACAGGCTCAGCAAATTTCTTGACCAAAATGTTTAAATTCCTGGACCAAATTCCTACAAATACCAATGTCCAAGAATCCAGTCGCTCCCACTGCGCTCCCATCGCTCCACCAATCCAAGCTTCGGCAGCTCCAGCGACTTCCCCTCCGCCTCCACGGCCTCCAGCGCCGACTGCAGCGGCAGATCGGCGGAACGTCGCGAGTCCGGCGGCAGCAAGGCATGACAAAGCCGTTCGAAGGAGGGCCGCAAGGCACCACGAGCCTGGTGCCATTGGAGGAGAAGAGGGGCACTTGTGGCACACCAAAGGGGAAATGCATGGAAACATCTTGATACAGTGGCAAAACCGGTGAAATTGCAATGTTTGCCATATTTTGCCATTTGCATCCATTTGCCATCATCTATCACTTCATAAGTAAGTAGTCATGTGTCACATGTCATGTCAGGGATTATGATGTGGGGTCCTGGGCCCCTGATGTCTATTACTTCGCGAAGGAAAGGAAGCACAGGTCTGACCGAATGGGTCTTCTTAGGTCCGGTGCAACACGGGGACATACAGGAACTGTTGGTCAAAACATGTCAAACAAATACAACTAGTGGTCATCATCCAAACTGTGTGCAGGTTGAAACCTGCCTACTGGTTTCCTGGCTGTCTGGATCTGTCTGGTGGCGTCTGGAAGCAGTAGGAATCTCGGACTTTTTCCAATCCCAACATCTTCCAACAGCATCTCCATTCCGTCTTCTCCGCTCCACCGAGCACCTGCTTGGGCTCCAGGAGCAGCACCTGCGAATCCACCCGCGGCGGTGGCTGGAAGAGCTCCGGCCCCAAGCGATCGATGAGCACCTGGTGAGAGGTTCGGCTGCAAGGTTCGGGAGAGCGAGCGGATCTGGGTCATCCTGGATGGTTATCTGGGTCGTCTATCCCAGTCTCACCTGGGTCAGGTTGAATCTAAAGCATGCAGATCCACAAAACCCTGTCAAAGAAGCGACAGGCACCCCGAAAAAAACATAACTATCACTGTTGCACCAGTTTCTTCGCAAACGCCTAACTGACTTCACCTTCCAAGTCCAGGCCGCTCACCTTCCGCATTAAACCATGTCCTCGCGCCTGGGAGGTGCAAGAGGCAGCACAAAGGGCTGACAAAGCGGTAAACTTGGAGCTGCCTGACGCGTCGTCCGCGTCCGCGTCTCGTTGGACCGCCGCGGGGGGAGTCGTTGTCAGGTCAGATGCGACCTTGGACTCGGAAGTAGGGACCAGATCCCTTTTTGTTGGGGGGAGGTACGGCCTCTGGGTATTGAATCAATATGAGTGCAAGGGATGACTATTTTGAGGATTGGCATGGTTTCTGATCTCGTAGTTGTATCTACAAGCATTTACTAGCCTAAAGAGAATCTCAGAAAGACCCCAGCCCAAAACGAAGGTAACATGTTGATGAAAACCCCCCCATTTGGAGTATTAACTCCATATTGATGGTTATATGCATCAACCGTCTACATGTTCCTCCCTATCGACAGACTTCCATCATCTTCCATCCAGCATCCGGTCGTCACATGTCCTGCATCCGAACGCTTCCTGCCTGGCTTGGCCAAGAGCTTCTGAGCGAACTCTTTCTGTAGCATCAACACCTCGGATCCACAGTCCAGCCTCTCCAACCACCCCCCCCAGAGTGCCCCTTGGATCCTCACCTCCGCGTGGATCCGGACAGCTGCCGGATGACTTGGTATCCACTGAGAAGTCTGGGAGGAGTGAGAAGGAAAGAGAGCAGGGGTCAGCTGGTCCACTTTAGATCTTACTTCGAGGCCCATTTCACCTCTGTTTTGATAGGACAAAACCACTTAAGGGGGTGGAGGTGGACCAAAGGTAGGTCAAGAAGTTCAACTTTCAGACAGGTAAGTCGAAATAAGCAGGTGAGTCAAAAGCGTATGCGTAGCGCCTGCGATGAGAACATCTTACTACCGGGATTCCGATGATGCGCGATCCAAATGTGCACTGGAACATCCATCCTCTGCGTTTGGCAATCACGAGAAGGATCAGTGCGGCATATACACCACACACCCGGCACACGAAGTGACAAAACAACACATTTGGAACCAGCACATCCACCAAAATGCAAGTTCTGTGTTTGAGGGGAATGGTCAAGCTGCGTTCTGTGCTTGTTCTTCGAGCGTGAAAGAGATCCTGTCGCTTGACAAAGCGAAAACAGGTGAAACCGTTTTCTACTGTTACATTTTACTAAGGCCCCAGGGTCCAGGTACCTCTTTAGGATGGTTTTGGAGGTGAGTTCGTACTTCCAAAGAATGGTCGAACTGGGGCCAAAGGACAAGCTCAAGAGGTATCTGGACCCTATGGGAAAGGGAAAAAGACCAAGGATCACTCCAAACGGCCCAGGCCGAGTGTCCATCCGCCGCAAAGGCGGGTCCTGCCGCAGGAAGTGTCGTAGCAACGCACTGCTGATGCCATAGGGGAGGTTCCCAACCAAGGTCTGGCACTGCAAGGGAATCTGGCACGTCAACACGTTGCCTGCAAGGGAATCAAGGCATGCGCGTCACAACATGTTCGGCAGGTCCCAAATCTCTCGCCCGATCCTTTCTTGCGTGGACCAGCGGCAGGTTCTCCGTGGTCGCCCAGGCTATCTAAAAACTGAGACAGAGTTGAAAGGGGTTTCCTTTCACTCTTCGCATAACCTGTGCCAACCAGTATCAGAATGACTCTATGAGACCATAGATGACTCTGTAAGACCCCCTCAAATGTCCAAGTTTCGAAGGTTGATGGCCTTTGCAACCATTCAATTCTATCCAACAGCCCATTGTGCACACTTTTTTTGGGGGCTGAATAGATTGAATGGATGTCAGGATTCCTCAAAACCAGCCCCTTGCCACCCAATTCACCATCCCTCCAAACCTCACTCGCACTTGCTCAGCTAGCTGCCCAAATCAGTCGATAAGTGTATTGCTCTGACTCTGGGCAAGTTCAGGCCAAGGCTTCTAGCGCAATGCGCAAGCGAAAGCCTTCCAATGTCCAGAGGAAACACTTTCCACCACACACGCAAGCTCATCCACCCAGACCCCCTCCGACACCGAGCTTTGCGCCAGCCTTTCAGGATCACACACCGCAGCCGGCTGCCCTCGCTTTCTCCGTCGCTGAGCTTCGCGGCCCAGTCTGCTCGAGTGCAGCTCTTTGCGTCCTCCGTGAGGTCGTAGCATTGGGCGCGGTGACGATGGAGCTCGCCGCCCTTAGAGAAGCCTGCGTGCGTTTCTTTTGGTGGGCTTGCGCAAAGGCGCGGTTCTTTTCTTTGTGGGGTTGGAAAGGTTTGGGAAAAGCTTCAAGGAGTTCAAAGGGCTGTAGGTGGGGTGAACATACACACAAGCGACGGATCTGCTGAAGTTATTACGGTGTCCAAGTCAAGTGGGAAAAAAGTTCTTGCTTCAGCCACCCATGAGATCCCCCAATCATAGACTTTTAACGCTGCAGCCCCGCTGCAGCCCCGGGTTCTTCAGGATTAAATCCTCGCTCTTTTAGTGTTATCATTGCCCCTGCACCCGCCCCAAAATTTCAAGAAATTACAATTCAACATATGTCTAAGAACAATACCTACAAACGAAACAACAGGTATATTATTAATTATTATGGAAATCAATTTACATCTTCTCTCTCTCTCTCTCTTTTCTGGGCCTTCTTTGAGGATCTCCTCATCAATTTCAAAGCCCACCACGCCGCCACTCTTCGACGTCGATCTCAATCGCTTCAACAAGGCGCTGGTGAGCACGCCAGTGCCCACGCCAATCTCTGCCACCTCGGAGCGGCCAGGAAGGGTGAATCCTGAGAAATCCACCTGTCAGCCACCCAAAGCAGCAACGAAACTGAGATGATAGATGATAATACTGCAGACTTCCAAATTGATATTTGTTTTGATGGACATCTAGGGATCTCAATGATTCTTGCTGACCCAACATGTCCAAGACCATGTTGAAGAAACACATCAAAGAAACGGTGTGTTGATATAGAGCGTCATTGGGAAGTTTGAGGCCAACTTTTCACACTACAAGGTTTATGGTGTCATCCTCATCATCAGCACTGAATCGCCCTCTTTCGATCAAATCATCAAATCATCCCACTACTAATGCTTGATTGATCCCCCAGCAACAAGCATATTATAAAATGTATTAAAAAACAAAACACATATACTTGAAAACATTTATCATGAAAACAAAACAATCATACACTTCAAGGACCCACACCACTCCAGGAGTGCGGAGAACGAGCTGGCTATTGTGTCCCAGGTACCCAGCGGGGCTCCGTGTGTTCACGGCTACGGAGTGCAGCGGCTGCGATCTGCTCGGCTACGGAGTAGGACTGCAAACGGTGCTGACCCCAGCCTGCCAGGCAGGGGAGGGGTATGCGGATGTCCACGGATGCTGACGGGTACGTAGTCAGGGTGTAGGTGCGGGAGGAGGCATATATTATATTATGTATATACAGCATAACTAACCGATACCAGGACACCCGGACCAGGGGCTTCTATTGATATCCACTTAGCTTTGATTCGGGATGTCCATTAACCACCACGACAATAGGTCCTCGTTTTTTCATGGAACGGTGGGATCCCGGAGTGGAAAATAGAGGTTCCCTTTGGCCCAAAAGGATTTCTTGAGGTCAATCAGCCCATCCTAGCCTAAGTTGGACTGGGAGCTCCGGGTCTTGCGGTCCCTTTGGTCTCCTGGTCCAGCGGCAATCGTTTTGCTGCGGGAAAACGTGTGAAGTGGTGGATGGACGTATAGATGGATTGAAGCTGATGGATTGGAGGTCTGATGATCACAAATGGATCATGAATCATGTGATCCCCTGGTAGATGGATTGAAGGATTGAAGTGGTAGATAGATTGGTAGATGGAACCCAAGATCTTTGGATGGTCACCTTGCCATCAAATTTTCGATTTCGCTGTTGGTCCCACTCCGATAAACAGCTCTTGAGAAAACTACAAGCAATACTGGTTCATACCTGTTCCAAAGGAACTCAATAAGTAACCCGAGTACAGGACTTGGCAAAAAGCCTGCAGATTCTATGTCTACATGTCTGCATGGGGTGGAGCACAAGGTGATGTATTAAGAAACACTGGGCGGCTTTCCCAGAACATCCTCCCCCTCCCCGTTTTCCAAACACGCCGAAAATCCAAGCCGCGGGGCGCGGTCTCCGAAGGCGCACGTGCCAAGGTGGCTGCAGTGTCGTGCACAGATCCTCGGCTTCGAATTGGCTGCCAAAATTGGATCAGTGAAGAACCTATAGGACCTATAGGAGCGCTAAGAGGTGAGTGGTTCAGTGTTCACCACAATCCTGAACCTAAGTGGTTTCACAGAACCTGATTGATCCTAAGATATCCTAATGTTAGAATAAGTGATCAGTGTTCTTATATTTTCTGAGGATCCTTCAGTGTGCTGATCAGTTTTTCAGATCCTAGGAGCCTGTAAGATCAGATCCTTCGGTCATGAAAAAAAAACAACTGTACAGTGTTTTCCAAGCATCCAAGTGAGTTGAGATTGACTCCCCTTCGACCCATAAGGTACAACCAAAGGTCCCAAAGTCGGAGACTTTACCAAGGTTTTCCAGTCACGTCCGATTAGCAGCACCATGATCATGGACCCCTGATTTGAGGCAAACATGGACATGCACGTCCATCGACCGAGTCAAGTCTTACAGTGTCGGTGAACGCTGTCAGGGACGTTGGGAGCTGAATTCGGGGCTCGCCAAGCTCTGGGTGAAGCTCAAAGAAACATGGCTTGGCCCCGGTGCCGGAACTTCCGAAGCCACGCCCGCGACCGAAAGCCGAGAAACTTCCGATTTCCCTGCGACCCGAAAGCCGGTCGCAAATTCGGAGGTCCTCTGGGGGCTTCCTCGGGGCCATCCAAGAGGATCCCAAATAATGGGACTGCCATATATTTGCCTATACATTGACCCTCAAAACCACCCCTGGCCTGATCGGCCGTCCTATGTCAGCTCCCATTCCTCGTGTCGGACGAAACACCGGGGCCATCGGAAGCCGGTGCCGTTCCGAACGCTCGCGGCAGGCGCTCCAAGTCTCCAGGAACCGAACTTCCGCACTTGGGGCACCCCAAACGCCGTTGCAGATGGTCCCGTGGCCTGCGAGGAGGTCCCCGACTACGTCGCTGGGCGCGACGTCTGTCGCGACACCGAGCGCGAGAGTCTCTGGATGTGTTGGGTGGTTTGAGGGTTCACGGCCACGCATGTGACGCGACCACAGCTCTTAGCAAGCAGCTCATTACAAAGGAGGGGCGGTGATGTCTCGTTTGTTGGGGAAAATGCAAGCAGCTTTGCTGCAAACCAATAAACACCGATGGCCCTATCAAGCGCCTCATCCGAAAGATGCCGTGCAGCGGGCACCGGATGAGCACAGGGGTGTGGTTGTCTTGATACTTGGCCTTGGTGCAAGCCGTACGCTGTATGGGCCGGATGGATCCTTCCATATCCTTCCTGATCCCTCCAGTCGCGTTTCAAGCGAAAGATGAAGGGTACACAAGATGAGTCCAAGGGGGTACACAACATGTCTATGTCGCATGTCGCATCTGTCCTTCACAACTCGCATGATCCCTCCTTCACAGGACTGGCTGGCTTTTCGGGGATTCCTAGGAAAAATCACGAATGGACTGGACAAGGCTTCATTCAAGCACTCTTGATTGAAGATTGTAGGTGAACAACGATGAACAAAACAGACAATATATCCAATAATTGGTATATAGTCTTAAAACACACACACACACAAAAACAAACAGATTCCCCAAACAATGATGAATGATTGAACATATATACAATTGGTCGTTGGTCGTCTAAATAACACACGCAAACAAATTCCCCCAACGCGAGTGTCACCCAGTACCATCCTCCAACACGCAGGAACTCTTCAGCCTTTGTCCGGTCCAAGCGAGCGAAGATCGCTATCAGGTCGACTCTCTTGATTGGTAGAAACCCAAGTGATTTGGATTTAAAGCAACCTATTTGGATTCAAGCTGGATTGAAACATATGTTGATTAGTCAAAATCCTCCCTCTATTTGGATTGAAAAAAGATCTCTTCATATGCATCTAAATCTGATCCTCAAATCCTCTCCCTCCATTTGGATTGAAATTGACAAACACCTCAAGCTTGGGGGGGTTGAGGAATCAAGAGTCTATACTATATATATACATTTACTGCCTTCCCAGGTTTCCCATGTTTTCCCAGGTGGCGGTGGAGTAGTCATAGAGATTCCCCCAAATCCGCGCGCAATCTTCCCGGAAGGCCTGGGGTTGACAATGGCGGTTTCCCAAACCGGACCGGACAGGTGCGGTGACTCCCAAGGAATGAAGGGACATGAAGGGACACTGGAGACTTCGGTTTGGATTGAGTTCACTTTTGATACCCTGGTGACTTCGGTCACGAACAGGCCAACAATCACAAGGTCACTTGAAGGGACTGAGAAGGTCCTGGTTCGTTGCTTTCTGTGTCAGGGCACTTTATATGTATGCTCCCGGCAAGACCTGCAAAGATGGCGGGTGAATGAGGACATGGTCATTGGAGATTGTGACAGAACACCAGGGAACATCCCCACCTCAACATGGAGGGCTCCTGTGCGGAGCCCTGGAGATGCGATCTCAAAATGATTACGAATCATTACACCTCACGTCTGTGTGCTTGTTTGAAGCATTGGACTGTGCTGTTGACGCCCTTGTGGCAGCCTCAAGGGTGGAAGCCAGTAGTCTGAGGCCACCAAATGCCATCAGTATCTCTTAAAGATTTTGTTTGCTTTTGTTGATGGTAAATGGATGATAGGGGTATCTACACAATTCCTCTGGCAGGTGCTGGAACGACTGGGCAATATTTATATGTCATTTAGTCTGGTCCTTCAATAAGAATAGGTGTCAGCTTTCCCCACACTCAGAATTTCAGTGATCTGCTGGATCCCTTTTCTTTTCTCCGTCCATGGCCCGATAAATTATCGGCTGCAGCAGTCACTTAGACCCCATTGGACCCTTAGTGACCTTGCATCCCTCATTTTTCGACAAGTCTTGCCTGCTTTCTTCGGCCTGGATGAAGACGATCCAACCTTGGACAACGAGTCTCCCACCCACACGGCCCCCGTGCAAAGCTGGTGATTCGAAGCGGTCCTTGTTGGGAAAGAAATGCAAAGCCTGCAATGTCAAAGCTTTCGATGTTCACAAGGACAACACCTCAACACATTGGATCTTTCCTTCGTGCCCTGAACAAATCACCAATAACAGCATGTTCAAAAAAAACGTTTGAGAGCCTATCCCTACATTGTTGCATGCCTTTCTAGGCATATAACCACACTCCTTTCTGACACAAGACCAGGCCAACAAAAACAACCTCAAATTCTCATGGAACCTCTCTCCCCCGATCAAGGCACTGTTTCAGCGAGGTCGTGGCGAAATCCCCTCGTGTAGATGAACTCGCTCGCACGCCGCGGACCGGTCTGGTGATCGCAGTGACCGCACCGTGCACCATCCGCGAGCCACGCATGGGTCCAGTCGGTGCGAGGCCACGGGTGGGTTCATCATGAGCGCTGCTGTTGAAAGGTACTGCTGTCATCCTCCACAGCTACACGTCAACAGTGCTGCTGTTGTGGGGTCTCTGACTGCGGAACAACTCGCGGATCAAATTCACTTGCAGCTAGCATGCGTTGAGCAATCAAGGTGCGGTCTTTCAAAACCAATGTCACTTCAACTCCTGGTCAAGTTGATCTTGATTCCTGCAACAGTTTTTTTCTTGGTCAAGTGCCTGCTGATATAAGAATGTGTGGATGTGGGTCACAGTTGAACAAATCCAAAAACGCAATATGTTTAAATGTGTTAAACATATTGCAAACAAATCCAAGCAAACCATACAAAAGACTTCTCTGGGTACCGGTAAACAGGCTGCGAAAGAAAGGCTGCGACCAAACACAACTCTGCAATGACAACAACCACAATGGCAACACACCTTTTGCTCATTCATTCCGGCTACGTTAAAAAAAAAAAACACACACACAACACAAAACACTTAAAGGAACATATCCAGGAATTGAACCTTTGCCCCCCCAAAAAAAAACAACTGACTCAGGAATAGATTTTGTTTAACTAACACGAAACCGTTGAAGTGTTTCAATCTGGTCAGTGGGGTCTCGTCAGTTGTGCTGTTTGCTGGAATTCATTGCCATGACTTGGGTTCTTTCAACTCACAGATCCACTGGTCTCCATCCGTCACCGGTCTCCTGCCTCCAGGTCATTCCTCGTCACCAATTCAAAGGTCTCGTTGGAGGGGCCGGACTTCAAGGAGGCCTGGGCCGCAGCTTTCGCGAACCATTTAGATCACTGCGACGGCTTGATCTGCTTGGCGTGCAAATCCAGCAAAACCTGTTTGTTCCGATGTTTTGGGGGCAACGGGCCGCGTTGACACGTAAGAATATCTGGTGGCTACACTGGCCCCGTACATTACGGGTTTCCGTTGCACCTTGTTATACACCAACAAACACTTTAAAACCACAAGTAAGGAAGTGCATTGTATTAGGATGCCGGAAATGGGACAAATCCAATCGAACATTCATCCTAAATGTATTCACAGGGGAAAGGGTTGCGCAGGTCTTTCGGATCGACGTTGTAACTTTCCTGTATGTCTGCTACAACATCAGTTGCTGCTACTGCCACTGCTACTACTGCTACTACTACTCCTGCTGCTGCTGCGGCGGAAACGGACAGCCGGGAGGTATGCACATTCTGGATCATCATTAGACAGCACCACCCTGCCAAATTGCAGCGAGGCCCCAGCTTTGTAAAGTCCAGGGTCGCCACGTACCTGCGTGCCCAGCAAGTCACAAATACAGCACGTGCACAGGAATATTGAACTGTAAATGCCTGGATGTTTACAACATCACCAACCCACCTCGTGCATGTGAAGGTTTTTTTGGGATGTTGGGAACCTCGTAATCTATGCAAACCCCTCACCAGTCCGAACTTGATTGAGGCCACCGCGCTGTGCTCACACCCTACATGTTTGACTTCAACAAACTTGTCTGTGCGCCTACCTTCAAAGCGCCTGCTGATTTTTGTTCGCAAAGCCTGACCTCTCATCGAAGGTCGGAATTGTGATCGCCTGTGGATCTTCGGCTGGCCTTCAAAGGCCTACTCAAATGACACTAGTAATTATATATACAGTATCTAAAAATAGGGTTGCTTATGGTGACAGGAAGAGATACAGCAATTCAATTCGTACAGCAAGATTCCCCCCTTAAGCGGCGAGCACCCACTGGTGCGAAACAATCCCTGTTCTCAAGCACATTCATTGACTTATATGTGATGTGTGATGAGCAGGGCGCAAGACCAACCAACCAAGACAGGGTATCGATACGCTTTGATTCTCTCAAAACGGTGGACAAGTGGAGGCGGGGCATTTTACACCCATCTTGTATGCTGTGCGACGCTGGATATTTCGGACAGTGAGCCTGCAAAAAGCGACAGCTCCGACGAAAGATAGCCGGATCGTTGTCCACAAACACGCCAAACGCGCCCGTGGAAACTGAACCAGCAGCTTGGGGTTCCGCAACAACAAAACGATCCCCGCACACTCGGGTTTCCCGATGCGTACGAATTGACTGCGGTTTGCCACACGCCAACCTCAGCATGTAAAACCTAAGAAGCCAGGGTTGATAGTATGTAAAGGATCTAACCATGAGAACTTCCAGAAGCCTCCAAGTTCCAGCGAAGTCTGAAAGCAAAGACTGCCGTGAGTGCACCGCTGCTAGGTCCAGAAAATTTGTACTAGCTAGGAACGAGGCCCAGAAGGCGGTCTACTAAGTAGGTAGGGATCATGGCACAGCAGGTGCATCCGGCTGATCAGGCCAGGTATCAGCACGGAGCTTGACCTTTCTCCTTTCATGTCCTTTCACGTCCGGTCACTTCATCCCTTTCTGTCTTTTGCGCGCACTGGCCCTGCCCTTAGCGAGCACGTGCACTTTTACCTTTGAACTAGGTTGAAGGTGGCCCAGGGTTTGACAAGAAGGTTTGGCTCATCCGTTGTCCCTGTGCACTGTGCACTTGGTTCCCTTTAATCGCAACCGCCTACCTTTTGTTGCTTTCGTGTCTCTCCTTCATGTCTTTTCATCTGTCGCCTTCTTGCGTACACATTTGCACTTAAGTTTGCCGGACTTGGAAAGGCCTATGTGTTCATACCTTGGCATTGGCGTATTTAGTTTGACGGACTTGACTGGTGATCCAACGAAGAGCATTGCATGTGTAGAAACATTGCCCATGGCTGCATTCTCTACATTCACAAGGAACTTGCAACAAAATGAGATCAATGTCAGGAAAATAGACTCAAAGTGAGGGGTTCATGTAGGTTTTGGCACAAGATAGCACAAGACTCCACATGTGATCAATGCGTCAATACAACTCTCTGTTTAGAAATGGTCTCAGGGTGTGTGTGTGCCATCTACTCTGAAATCGCTTGACTATCAACCTTTGTTTTTCGCCCACGGATAAACCATTCATGCGATGGAACCTCGGATATGCTTTTACTTGGACTTTACTCTGCTCAAGAACCTGATGACCTGCTAACATGACCTCAGGCCAGCGGAATGATCCAATCCAGGCAGGGTCGAAGAGGCTTCAGCCACGAGGCACAACAGCTGGAAAGAGAGCCCGGTGGTCCTGCAGTGGTCCTCCCTTTGGCGCAGCTGTGCTGACCGTTTGACCATGTCTGACCTAAGGCTCGTGCATGAATCTGACTCAGAATTTACCCTTAAAACAAAAAACAAAACCCCTAAATCCTAAACATCCTCTTCATAGGCAGTTGCCCGCGACTAGCTCACCCCTATAAACATCTGAAGATCTCTTTCAAACCTTTCCGGACCCACCCATAAAGTGCTGCGAACATGTCTGAATCAGATATCCATCCTGTTCCAACCACGCCAATCGTGGACCCTGCCGCTTCCTGGTGCCGAGCGTGCTGCGTTCGCCCGTGGAGTTGGTGCGACGCAGGCGATGGCAACTCCAGTGCCAGGCATTCAAGCTGGTGCTGGTGGAGACGTTCGTGGCAAACAAATGTAAATGCCCAGTGCACCCAGAAGCAACGAAACTCTTCAGGCAATCCAAGTGCCACTGCCTTGGGTGGCTTCGGTGGAGAATGGGATGAACAGTGATGCCGGTGAGAATATATGTATAGTCTAGTTGTGTAAATGAATGAGATGGCCCTTATAGATATCCTTTACGGAGCAGGCAAGATTCTAGCATTTGCCAAAAAGTGCTGCAGTGAAGAGCAACGGAACGTCTTGTTGCTGCAGAATCTGGAGGACTCGTGCTTGATTGTAGCCTGCAAAGTTGTTCATCCATCTGGGTCTTTTGATCATGAGGCTCCCCGGACCAGTTGGTCCGCTTTCAGTCGCCCTACCCGTCGCTGAAAAAACACACGCCCGTGCGGCCATGCGATGAGCAATCCATCAAGCACATGGTTCGCATCTAAACCCAAGGACGGTGGATGTTCAGACTTCCACCTTTAAAATCCCTCTCTGTAAGCGAAGGGCTCAACGGTCGACACCGGGTGTCAGCCCGACACCGCCCTGCCACATCGCCCAAAATCTCTCTCAACAGTCATGCAGGTCATACGAAGTCATGTCAAGTGACTTCAGTAGACAGTTGATGAATAGTAATGGGATGAATAGACGTCCCCCAATGGAGACTTTTCATCCCATTGTCAGTTGATGAATAGCCCCCCTATGGAGATGAAAAGCAATTCTGGCAATGGGATGTAGTGGAGAGATCTTGATCCGCTGCAGCAGTCCCAGCAGTCCACGAGCGGAGGTTCAAGCCGGGAACATCCAGTCTCGACCGTTGACCCGAAAAAGTGAAAGACGACCCGAATTCTGCGGTCGCCCTGAATTCTCGGGTTGCACCTGGGGGGGGTCCGCATGCAGGACACGTGAGGCCCCCGCGAGCGCTGCTGGTCGTGGACTTGTGGAGGATGTCGTCAAGCGAAATGAAAAACATAGACATATATGGATTGGGTCTATCCTATTACCTGGAACAGTGGATGATGATGGTTAGGTTGCAGGCCCTGTTCAAACATAGTGATGTTCTTGTTTACTGACTGTTCCAGGTAAGAACGGACAGACCCAATATATGGAAAATACTTGGGCACAGCACATCCGATGAATCAACTGACTTGTGATGTACTGTTGATCTGAGTCCATCGCATTCCCCCGGTCACTCTTCTCAAAAACGCATGCTGCATGCCTGCTCAAACGTTCAGAATGTGGCCACTCGGCACAGATTTCACCTGTGGAGTGCAACGTTGGAAGGGTTCCCCATGTTGAAGTCCGAATCAAACCACCGGATATCCTATAAACACCCCATAATGTAATATAAATATGCACCAGTGTGAACATCGGAGGATTCAACATCCTCTTGGACCATCTTGGACCAAGATTGTATACTCTTGGTGGCCCCGCAGGCTCACAAGAGTTCCGTGGCAAAAGGGCACATTTTGCGAGATTCTGTCTGAAATTCCGGTGATTGGATTGCATGCGGCTTATACCCAAGAAAACAAAGCATGGGACTTGCAAAATCAAGTCTGCTGCCTTGTAAAGACAAGCTTTCGAACTCAAATCGGGCAGTCATCCGGTCTGATTCCACTGCAACCACCAAAAGGATCGAACATCTGATAGGCAAACTAGATGATCTCAAGGTAAAGGATCTCACATGACCAATGAATTTCACCTTCCGCCTTCCCTCGCTTCGACCTTCCGTTTGTTTCTGGGTCTCTTTAGTCTCCTACCCCGGCACAACCAATGGGTTTTGGTCTATTTCCCTTCTTCCAGGGAGTGTTTGGGAGGTCTCCCTATCTTAACTATTACACACCCCCCTGATCCCAAATGAATGTGCCTCGCACTCCTTGGAGAGAAGCTCGGACTGAACGCAGGAGCTCAAGCCTAGCGCCGTCCACGGTGCTAACGCCGCCACGGCTTGGCGATGGTTCTCAGGTCCAAATCCCGGTGCTGAGTATGGGATGATACGGAAACTGAGTCTGAAGCTGAGTGTTGCTGGGAGTACCTGACCTTCCATTCATTGCCTCATGCCCGGACTGGAGATGATTGACAGGTGAAGAACTTGTTCCTGTGCAAAATTGTCTACCTCCAACATCATCTTCACAGCGATCCTATTCATTCTGGGATCCCAACTCATCTGCCCTGCTTATGGCCGGGTGCCACCCAGGATGATGGGGAAACAATTGATCGGTTGTCCTTGTGATGACACTGTTTAAGGAAATCGTCACTCAAAATCTTTCTGGCGGGGGAAGATCAGCATTTCAACACATGGTTGGTTCCACCAGCCAAACATGAGAAGGATGTTCCCGATTCTATAAATTCTTCCAGGACCCTCCAATAATTTCACCCCAGTAATTATTGGGACACCTGTCCATAAACAAGGTCACACAAACAAGGTCACGCCGCCATTAGCGGCCTGGGGTTTTGCACAGGGCACCCACTTGCATGTTGTTTGGACCACTGAATTTGTCCCAGTTCAAGTCACACCTTCCAAAACTCTGGTGAAAGAAGTGGATCTGGGTACAGTACTTAAAGTGTTCGGATGCTTTCAGTACGTGGCGCAAGTCTTTGCTGTGTAAATCGAAAGGAAGGCGCATCCGGTCCTTACCCCCTCAACCACGTGGAGCATCGTTTCGCGTGAGCGTCGGAGCGTCGGAGCGAAATGGCGGATTCCGCGTGGACCGATCTTCTTGAAGTGTGGACCAGTTCGAATCTCAACAGGTTCGTGCGCGGACGCAGGACAAAGGGATGCGGAAAC